GTTTAGGTAAAGCCCCTGGGCTTGGTTAAAACACAAATGAAAAGTACAACGTCGGACATGGGACTCAATCTCCAGTTGGCTGCATGAAACTCTGGTGTTTGTTGGAGCCATCCATTCACCCCAACCACCTCCTTCTTGCTAGTGTTTTTAACATTCTATAGTTGATAACCATACACCATCAACAGACATTAAATGTTAGCTTCCCAATCCATACTCTAGTCCAGTTGATGGTGGTAAAGCACAATTTTGATGTTTGCCAACTTCCATATAACAATGAAGACCACTGGGTTGCAAAACAAAAGACACTGCCATGTCACAATTTTACAGCTATTATTGTAACACCACTGTTTTACACTGTGGACCAACGTAGCTATTGAAGGTTTTCATTTGAGACTGGGCTGAGTATTATTACATTTGAAATTTTTAAAAAGTGAGCATACGTCATATCTCAAGCTAAGGGTTTTCCTGGCGGCTCATTGGCAGAAGTCCATACCACCTGGCACCTCATAAAAAAACACTTCAAGCCTGAATTGGGCTCTTAACCTTTGGGTCAGCCCCATTCTAGAATGCTTTGTGTCATCTGCCACTGTATCATGCTTTTCTCCTACAGGAACTGCAGTGGACTTGGTTCATGGGTTCCAGCTTGTAAAAACACTGCTCTCAGCATGTCACACTGAATATAAAACTAGTGAGCATGTGGTTCAGGTTTGCATATACTTAATACTGTACATGCCCACCTGATTGATTATAAGCGTGAAGCTAAAGACATTGGTGGCACATGTGTGCAGGAAAATACTGTATGTTATATGTATGGTATATGTACAGTATGTGAGCTGCAAAACGGTCTCAAGATAAATTTTAAAAAGAGAGAAAGAGAAGCTTAAGTGTATAGTTGAAAGTAATCAATGAATGACAGAGTACTGGCAATGTTTCCAAGTGCTGTGTGTGATGCTGACCCAATACATGAAGTAAATCCCAATTGTTCCTCAATCCTTGCTTAACCCAAAAGTTGTTGTGGATCCCAGAGTTCTTATTCCTGGCCTGAAGAGCAAGGATCAAGGAGTGATGAGGCTGCTGGAAGAGCTACTGTACTGTATGAGCCAGGAAACACAAGAGAATGTGTCATGAAAGTCTTAAAAGGAATAAAACGACCCTTTATCGGAAATCGCCTGGTGACTGGATGCTTCAGATGAATGGCTAGAGAAAAGAACGTCTCATGTCTGTAAAAATGTATTTCATCTCTCTGCACATTTTCTCCTTGAATCTTTAGTGAAAGTGGTTTTGTTTGCTGATGACACTACCATATGGGCATCGGGTGAAAACTTACAGCAACTCTCTGGACGGGTTTCACAGGAACTTGTGAAGATAAAGAAATGGTGTGATAGTAATATAGTATCTCTGAATTTGGATAAAACTAAATTTATGGTATTTGGGAATCGTAGACTAGATAATGAACTTCAATTGAAAATTGGGGGAGCTAATATAGAACAAGTATATGAAATTAAATTTCTAGGTGTCATAGTTGATGACAAATTCTCCTGGAAATCTCATATCAGATATGTTCAGAATAAAATAGCAAAAAATATATCGATATTGGCAAGGGTTAGATATATTTTGGATGGGAAAGCACTACGCATTTTGTATTCTTCATTGATTTTACCATACTTAGAGTATGGCGTTGAAAACTGGGGAAATACATACAAAAGCTCACTTCAACCATTGTATATATTACAAAAAAGAGCGATAAGAATTGTGCATAAGATGGGGTATAGGGATCACACCAATGTAGCTTTCATACAGTCTAAATTGTTAAAATGTTTTGATTTAGTGGGATATAAGACTGCTGTGTTTATGTATAAAGCCAGGAACAATTTATTACCTGGTGGAATTCAAAAACTATTTAATGAAAGGGAAGGGGGATACAATTTAAGGGGTCAGTTAAATTTAAAAATTCATGCTATACGTACAACCAAAAAAAGATTTTATATTTCTATAAGTGGGGTAAAACTATGGAATAATTTAAGTGTGGACATAAAAAATAGTAATAGAATCGACGAGTTTAAACATAAATATAAAGGTATGTGTCAATCAAGATATATGCAAGAACAGGCTCAATGATTAACTAGATGGAACATTGTGGGTGTGGTGTATGAATGTTAATACTCTGTAATAATTCTTTAGTATATTACTTGTGTGGTGTAGAAGAGAATTATCTATGTAGAGATACTGCTTGCAAACCAATGATGGTAAGATGATGTCATGGGGTAGGACTGGATAAGTCTGACTTCTTCCTACTCCATTCAAGCATGTTCTAGGTATAAGCTAATTGATATTGGATTAGCATTTGTTGGATATGTGTAAAATTATGTGTGTTGACGTATCAACTGTCTTTACATGCTTGAAAGAATAAATCAAATTAAATCAAATCAATCTTCTCCTCACATTTTACATGGGTGAGAAAGAGACACAAGGAAAATACACAAGTGAGGGAAACATGGATGCATTTAAAAAAAAACTGAGATTTGCCCAAAGTCATCTACTTGATGGTGTGTTGGTTAGGAACCTATCCTACAGGGGCCTGTTGGAGACATCTGGGTCCAATCTCACTGTCCAGACTCACAGACTCTCAGAGTTTGAGGTGCGTTTCTTTTTTTTTTTTAAGCTACCTAATTAAATCAAGAAACAACAACTCTCCTCCTACAATATCTGACATGTGATCAATAACTTTTGCCTCATCCTCAACTTGTATCTATTTTCTGATACCAGTCTCCAATTAAACTCATTCAGTCTCTAACAGAAACTAAATGCCAGACTAGATCATACATACACATCATCTTCATATTCATCTCACCAGCAGATGTCAGTGATCAATCCCCCCCACCCAGACTTTAACGATCAAAAAGCTGATTCAATAAGCATTACACTGTTACAGTTGCAGTACATAGTGCAAAGACTCCCAGAAGCCTGCTTCAAATTGTTACTGCTTTGTGAGACGGATGCATACTATATGTATAAATCTAACGGACATGTAAGTGGAGAAACAGGCCCCCCTAGAGATTTGATTTCACATGCATTAGAATCAGTATCTTAGAGGGAAAATTTGATTTGGTATCAATTGGATTTAATTACTCTGGAATAATGACTTTGGAAAACAAATTGACAAGCCCATCATGAATTTATGTCCCATGGAAAGGTGGCATCTGCACAGGCAATCTGGACACAATTTTAGCCAGGAGGCCACCAGTAATGTGACACAAAGCAGTACGGTGCATCTGCAGCAGCACATTTGCTACTTATCTGTGTAGGTTAATGGAGGGTTTTTAGTAGGAGGTCAGAGAAAAAGACATCCAAAGAGAGAAACAAAGAGAAGAGCAACAAGCAACAACTTCTGAGTGTGGTTACACACATTATACCCCATCCTTTCCCAGAAACACATCTCCACAAATCAAAGGCAACTATTTATCATTCAAGCTTTAAAAGTATGTGTGAGTCAATAAAGACTACAGAGATAAAAGAGATGCATACAGAGAGAGAGAGAGCAAAAGACAAAAGGAGCTACGGTACTTCATACCATAGAGAGGTGCAGAAAATGCCTTGAGCTCCTTGAATAGTTATGATTTCTTTTTCCACTTAATACATTTTTTCATGGCCATCTGCCTCTTTCAGTTTGACCGACTAGCTGTCATCAGTTTCTCTGCAAGTATGTTTACCTCTTTTACACCTTTGCAGAAGATACCTGATTATGTGATCAGGTTTTGTCCATTTTGTTGTGGCTCCAGACATGCTGACATATGCAGCCAAACACAGACCTGGCCAGCTGAAAGTTTTCCATCCCTCTGTCTGACCTTTGACCTCTCAGATAGACATTCTTAGAAGATAAATAACTGGCAAGAGCACAACTCAAAGTCATTTCTCTCTTTCTCTTTGCTCACACTCGTACAAAAGGAAACCTGAAAAACCGACACTTGATGCTGCTGTCCATCAAGAAGGACTCTGAGAAATCCAGATTTTCCATATTATTCCATAATCAGCCAATTTTGCAAGCAATGAAAGCTTTAAGTAACGAGGGGATGTCTAGAACAAGAGGTGAAGGCATTTCCTGAAATTTATCAATGATACTTCCTCTTAAGCAAATATTTCTCCTGTGACTGATGGAATGGCCCCCTCAAAGGAGGCACCATGAAAATTAGGGGTCTCAGATTTTGGGTGGCAAGAGGGATGAAATCATCTCAAAGTAGACCCAGATGGTTATCTTTCTCTCCCTCAGACCTCTCCTTTTTCGCCCTCAGTCCCACACTCATCACTCCATCAGGTCTACCACCCTCCCCCCGGTGATTACTTCGGTAAGGAATGAGCCAAACCAAACACAAGAAGACAGAGCTGCGGTCACAGAAATAAAGAACAGCTTCAAATTACAAAGCAAAACAGTACAAGTTTAAGCATCCTCAGGGCTCAATCTGCTTGTTTGTGGTGATGATTGTTCTTATCAACAATACACAGTTTTTATCAGTCATTGAAATGTAGATTATAATACAGAAATGAGCAACTGCCAAAAGAAAATGGCAGAGGTTAACACTGGAGGACAGAACTCATATGAAAAGGTCCAAATGCCAAAACACAGAGAGAAAAGAAACTAAAGAGGAGCTGTGTTGCCTGTGTGAATTAGAGCATAGTGAGAGAAACTAGCCAAATCATGAGATCAGAAGCTGGCTGGTAGTATGTTTTAACATCCACCCAGTGGGACACAGGCCTGAACTGATTCTGAGGACTATTGTCAATTTAATAAATCATAATGTAAAAGTGTTTTACATCATCAACCTATGCTGCTCTCTATGCAGTATTATGGCCAGCAGATTTTCTTCAGCCACAGAGTTTGTCGCTGTAATATTCTGGTTACCATGATCTGCCTTTGGGTCCCGGAGCAGAGGGCTGGAACATTTCAAGTAGTATTTCTAACTCCTCATCTCATCACTCAAAGGAAAAACCCAAGAGGAACACCGGAGGAAGGAGTGGCTGATGTGCCCTGTGTGAATTACAGAGCACAATGAGAGAATAACTCCATCATGGGATCAGGTGAGGTTATACGTTTAATGTTCACCCTAAGGGAATAGTCAAGCTGTAGACAAGGATAATAAGACAGTAGCAGGATGACCTGGTTTTGAAAATATAAGACTGATAAACACAGATATGAATACAAATGCAACCTGTGTGCATACACACAACCTTCTTCTGACTTCTACCCACTCTCTCCCACTATAGTGGAATATATACATTACATGCTAAATTCACTGTCCATCACAGACACTTGTCCATAACACCTGCACCTCTCTCGTTGTCTCTCCTTATCAGTGTCTTCCATTCATCTGCATTTAACCTCAAACATTCAGTCAGATCCTGTCTTGTCTCTGCAGCCCATGCCCTGCACTACCAAGTCTCTTTTTAATCACGTGTATTTAAAAAAATACTATACACTGGTCAGTCCAATAAAAAACTAAATTTAGTTTGCAATAGCTAGCTAACAACAATGGTAGAAGTACGGTACAATCATGTTTTCCCTGGAAACAAATGGCCTGAGTACCTACAAACATGAGACAAAACAATGTGGCTTTGGTAGATTATACTGACATCTGAGAAGATGTGCATTCTGTGCCACCTAACTGTATATTCATTTTTTAAAGACAGTAAACCAATAGACTAGAGTTAAAATCTGAAAATATAAAAGCAGAACAGACAATAGATCACAATTCCAATGTAAAAAGGCAAGTGTGTGTGTGAAGACAAAGATCACACACATTTGTAATCTTGCTTAATCAGCTGCTTTTTAAAGGCAATGCTTGACTTTGGATGCATATACTGGAATTACTCTTTCATAAGAATGCCAGGACAGGCTTTTGGAGCAGACCACAACATATTTTCAGAGCCAATAAGAATGCCCATGTATTGCATTTATTGTAAGTGGGCGTATTTACATTAGTATGTACTTGCTTTAGTTTCTTGAGCTGCAAACAGCTGAGTGGGCCTTTTACCAAAACACTGTGTAAGTGAGTGAAGAAAATAGTAATTCATCTGACCAAATCCAACATGGCATCTTCTGTCAGACATGTGAAAGTCACAGTTTGCATGTTGTGACCATAAGTATAGCTTATGTGGTTGTTGTTTCCAACCTGTGCTTTAATTCCAGATGAAGCTACTGTACCTAGATTTCTTGCTCAAGTTCAAATGTTCTGAAACAAGGGAAATTGTCTGAAAATGTCCTAAACCCTAAATCTAAAGCAGCCTGCCTAAAAAGCCACATTAAGACAAAATACATGACCACCAACATCATGGGAATAAAGCTCTACTGAGAATAAAATGAGAGAGAACATGATGCTTACAGAAGTTCAGCATTTTGCCCCTATGCACAGCAACTGTCTCTCAGCAAATGCAGGTTTTACTGTCTAGTAGCTGCAGAAAGCATTAAGGGAAAGCAAATGCCTAAAGTTTCATCAGGATTAGTAAGGTTAGTGGATTACATAGAGAAATACTGTACTGGAAATCTACATTTTGGAATGCTAAACTACTTTTTTGTAGCTGGAGGATTTTTACAAAGGGGTACTGGATGGGTGAAGAGCTGCAGATTATAGCAGTTTGTGTGAACTTAAAACCTGCAAGACACACAATCAAGGTAAGAAAGGTATTTTCCTCTGCTTGTTGTTCCAGTTCATGAGGACACTGTCAGAGATTTGAGTCATATGTGTCGGTTTTATTTTGAAAGAATCGTTAAGGTTGTTTTGTATGTCAGCTCTATAGGAATTTTCATGTCCTGTGGGAAACTATCAGAATATGTCTCAGAATTTTGGTAAAGATAAATGCTGCAGCATTTCTATAAATCATGCTGACACTGTAATTTAGAATGAGAGACAGATCTTTGAGAGGGAGGCCTCAGGCTTCAGGCTCTTTGGTTGTTATCAACTCGATCTGTACGTTGAGGAAATTGGGCATTAGAGAGGTTTAACACAGGCAAACTGTTGTCAGGTTCATATCAGCAGTTGTTTTTGCTCACTCTTTTCCCCACTGTCAATAATACAGAATAATGTGGTGACTTGTATCAGTTTCAAGGGCTTAAGGCATTTACATTTTTCTAACTAATGTTCTGCCAATAAGTGGAGGAACATGAGAGGCAGCAAGTTCTGGCACCCAGCCATTGCGCAACAAAATGAAAAAGGTTGAGAGCATAATACTTTTCTATAACTCCTAAATGTGCTGCTGTTGTTGTTACATCCAATTTTATTTCCACTTTGAAATTGGTGTCAGCTATTACATTAATTAACCTTGGCATCCATATTGGGAAATATATCTACCAATTTCTTTGTAAATGTGGGTGTTTTTTGACCTTGAACTTAAAGCAATCAGACTTTACATGGCATTTCTTATAGACTGTTGAGCCATTATGCATGTAAATGTACCCTCTGACAGTGTTTTCCTCTTTATGTTCCCCTTGTCTTTTATTCAGAAATCAATTTTCTTTCCTGCAAATTCACTATTCTTGGCATATAAACTGAGATCCAGCAATCTGATTTGAATTTCCAGCAGTCAGTGTCAGACACCTCATCTCACATCACAAGGTGTTTGACACCGTTAAGTGTCTCAACTGCTTTCTCTCTCACACACATACACACAAGAAATGAAAATGAAGGAAACTGTTTGTTTACAGCTGCTATGTGAAACTCAATTACACAGCCAATTGAGAATGTGGTTGTTTCTTAGATTTGTGTGATGTGCTACTGACCTAAATAAGACCGCTGTTCCCAGAAAGACAGACAAGAAAAACAACACGCACGCATGCACACAAACAAACATCTGGACCTCTGTTACTCTCATTCATATTTGCTGAGTGGTTTCCTGCTTGGTCCCCTGATGTTATTGCCCCCAGACCCCTCAGATGAAGTGAGGTAAGCTTTGGAGGCCCAGTATTATGCCATAAGGATTTACATCCATACATGCCTGCTCATGTGCACACATATACGCACACACATACTGATATACGCTTGTCATAACCTACACTGACAAACACCTGGTCCTGGTTACTGGACCCAGAGGGGGAGCTAAATACTGTGTGCATGCCTGCCTGTGTGTGTGTGTATAAGTGGGGTATATGGGGAATACTAGTCTGTAGGTTATTCAGTGCCGGGGGCTGTGCCGAGGTTCATTTTAACTTTTTTTTTTCTGCTCTCTGAGCCCTTGAAGAAGGGGTCTCACTTCACCAGCTCTCAAAATTTAAAGGAAGGTCACTGCTACTACAATATGTAGACCCAGTCCCCCAGAAAGGAAGAAAGAAGAGGAATTTCAGCCTTTTCTAATAGTAAGCAACTCTAGAATGTTGTGAATGTTTGATTATAAAAGAAGTGTTACTATTTTCATTAATAAGTTATAAAAAAAATGCTAATGCAAAACAGCATCATCTAAGCTTAGTTGTAGAAATCCAGGCTGTCTGAATGACATCTATCAAAGTTTGCAGCACATCAGCTATATGCCTATAATGTAGTAAAGTAAAACACACAGCTCCACCCATTATGTGTAATATCAAGAAAAACAGGTGACATGAAAAAATGTGAAATTAGTGATCACATTAATTATGCATAGCATTTTAAAACTTTTCAGACTTTGTTCATGTATTTATTTTTTATGTCTGCACTGTTGATTGCTCTCCTCTGGTTTCCATGATTTGAAACGAATTCAACAGCTATTTTAAATTTACAGTGTATTGAAGTTTGATTATAATTGTCTAGAGCTTAACATAATGTTCAGTGGCCTAGGCCATTGATAACCGGTAGAATATTGATCAATATGTGTTGTATTAGTGGAATGTATTGATTTTTACTGTAAGTGAGATACTGCTGGTTGAGTATAGGCCCACATGCATTTGTTTTCTCTTTGGGGAAACAGTACAGGTCCATTAACACCTCAAGCAAACACGGTGCAGCTCAGAATAATGTAGGAGAACCATCGCTGACATACAACTACGGGCTGTAAAATTTACGCACGGATCTATGTCTCAAATCAAACACGCAGCGGACTGTCAACAGCCAACAAACAAAGCCAGCAAAGCCTGTCAAACTTTCCGAGGTGATATTAAACAGGTTAACAGGTAAAAACAAACAATGGAGATGTAACAGTGCGTAATAAAACTCTGTGCCACCCGCCTTCACTTGAAATTTACTCACCTTAGGAAACTTTGTTTTCGTATTTCGTTGAGAGACGAAAGATTTGAACACTCAGGACTCCGGATACAGACCCAAGCTGATTTGCGTTCACGCCGGAATTGAAGCGTCTCTCTCTCTCTCTCTCTCTCTTGCTCGATGCTTATTTAAAACCTCTCTCCTCTCTAGAAGTCACTCAGCGATATGAGGGGTGATTAATGCCACGGGGAAGGACCGCATGAGCAGGGGAGCGGTGATTGGGTGACTTCTGCTCTGAACGTGATCCTGGCCATTTTTCTATTTGGTGCCCGCAAAATGATACACACCTAAAAAGACTAACTGCCTTGTCTCATCTCTAAAAAAATAATAAGCAGTGATTTTATAGCAATCACACTTCAAGAGTTATTTTGAAAATAGTCTACTACTCAAAGGGACATTTGCTGTCCACTGCACAGCACTTTTCTATATATACTACCCCAGTTGGTTTCTGTGTGTATAATATAATATGTGTGGACTTGACCCAAATAACCACTTTGCTGGTTTCAGAAATTCTGACATGGTGGAGATGTGCAGAGCTGCTTATTTAAAACTCTTCTATATTAGAAACCTGGTGCCAATTTTGCTCAATGAATGTTACTCATCTGGCACATTTGTCAAAGATTTTTTTTTTTGTTTTGGTTTTACTTCCACGTTGTGCAATCCACTGCACATCAACATTTGTGTTGTTGCAATCACACCCTTCACTCAGCCAGGTCATGGGGAGTGAGATCATGGTGTTCTGATCATAGAACAGCTAATGAATGCAACTAGAATGCATGGATGCTAGTGAATCACTGAGACCTGTTTCTGTATGTAACAGTATGTATTTGACAAATAAAGGCATTGTTCTCCAGTTTGTGGTTCATTATGCGTGGCTTTACAAGTACAGTAACTCATCAGCTGTTGCCTCATTGAAAAGCAAATTCAATGAGTTTTCCAAATGTTTGCACATAGCCTAAAAGGATTTTAATTAACAAAATATGTACAAACAATTATATATTGTATATAAGGGACAGCTATGCTGAAATGGGAAGGAGAAAGTCAAACAAACCATGGGCTGAAAAGGTTGAGATAGTCTGAGATGAGGTTTGTGTTGAAGGCCTTTTGGAAATGGGTGAACACTGTGATGAAAACATACTGAAAAGCATTTTTAAAAATTCTAATTGGCCACACTACCAGTTTGGACACACTTTCCGTGTCCTTCTCTTTCTCTCTCTCTCTTTTTCTCAAATTGCTTAATGTAAGATTTTGTTTCGAAACATTTTTGCCAGTATTACCAGTTTCACACAACAAGGAGACATACAATTTATTAAAAAAAAATACAAAAAAAGGATCAAATAATAGCTCAAAGGCAGCTGCTTCTCCCATTACCCCAGGAATTCAAGGCCAACAACTATCAGAAGCACATTGTAGATTTGTTGATGCATAGTTTGATATTTTTATGGCTGTGTATACATGAACAGTAAAGGTCATTATTATTAAAGGCTATTACATTTGATTAGAGCTACACAATAATTAATACTAACAGAAATAAACACCTATGTGTGTATGTTGATGCAGAAGAAACTCAGAATTAATCTCATGTTTCTGAAACAACAACTAAATTCAAAGTTTTCATGTTTCTGTTCTACTTTTGGATAGATGAGGAAGAAAAAAAACAACAAAACAAACAAATGAAAATCAATTATAACAGTGATCCTTTGCTATAGGCTATTTTACTGCTTGTATTAGGAATCATTAAAAAAAGACTTTTGCAGTTGGTCTTGGTCTCTGAACAAGAATAATTTTACTTTTGCATACATGGCAGCATGTCCTTTATTGTGACCTGCACAAGCATCTCTAGAGTTGAGCTGATGCCTTCTCACCTACCAAATAAAGAGGCAATGTATGGCTAAAAAGTGATTATGAGGAAAGTCCAAGATTCATATCTTCAGTGCGTGAGCATGTTTCTTGCAAAGAGGCTTGTCTTTCTTGGAGAAGAAGGTCTGGCCTTCCAGAGCGGTGTTACACACCTGAGGAAAAATACCAAAGATAAATACTCAGAAAAGCTGATAAAAAATGAAGGTAAGTAAATAAGTAAGTAAGCAAGTAAAGTTATGCTGAATATCTTTTAAAAAAATAATATTAATATAATTCATTATCTCCCTAGAAATAATGATAAAAATGCCAGAAACTAAATTTATCACATAATATTAATCACACATCATTGTACACAGCTATGGGTACAATATGAGCAATCAATTAACCATTACAAAAAGAAAATGAACATAACCTTGATGACTATTTTTGCGAAATAACATCCATCAAGTCCAGAAATGATGAATACCACATGTATCATTCACTGAAGTTGCGTTTTTGCAAAGCTGGTATACAAGTTGCTCAAAGGTGGAAATGGGATTATGAGTAAATGTGAAGTCAGGCATTATGTGTTAGCCCTGTGATGGACTGAGATTTATGTAATGTGTGTCTGTGAGCTTTACTTACAGCACAAACAAAGCAGGTGTCATGCCAGGTGTAACCAAGTGCCTCCAGGAACTTGTCTCCAGCCTCGATGGGAAACTCACAGCCATGGCAGCCAGTCCCAAACAAACTGTAGAAGTCTTTTAGAGACAAAAAAAAAAGAAAAGATGGATTACAGTAACAATCAAACGTCACTCAATCATCCAGTGCTAATTCATTCTTCATCACACACCTTGTTCACAGAATGGTTCTCCGTCCTCCAGGTGGAAGGTATTGTTTCTGATTGGCTGCTGACAGCGAGCGCACAGGAAGCAGTGAACATGCCATGTCTGTTTAAGAGCATTTATCACCTCCTAGGTGCAAACACAAACAATGTGGTTAGTTGGAGGCATCATACAGTTTGTTAAGAGCATTGGTCTGTGTGTGTCAGTCACAGTAACTGGAAAATGAGATCCCGAAGGTGGAGAGGATATAATGATTTTTGAAGGGATGCTGCCATGTTAACCTTGCTTATTCAGTCATTTGTAACACTGTTGTACATGTAATTTGTCAAAGGAAGTCCTTTGTCATTATTATTATCAAAAGGATGGCTGTGTCTGTTTAACATGTGTCAGGAATGCACAACCTTTCATACAGGCTGACTTTTTCTCTGTTCTGTGAGAACAAGACAGGATGGGGAAGCAGTGGGAAGTTGGTGGGCCATAGTAAAATGAAGGATTATTAGAGAGGGAGTGAGAAAACAGGTTAATAAGAAATCATAAGCTGGATGAAGATGTGTGCAAAATAGAGGGTTGGAAGGGATTGAGGCTAAATAGGTTAAAACATGTAAAGGGATGAATGTCAGAGCAGTTATGAAAGGAGAGATCTCAGCTTCCTTTTGACACTCTGGATTCAAGATACACCTGCAGCCTCTAAGCCTCTAAGCCTAAATCTCCTTATACCGAAACATGCTGCTGCTTTGCTACAGTTGTTAAGGAAAGTCAAGTATCTCACATTTTGAGGCTAATTTATATAAGTAAGGTCAAGGCCAGTTGTACAGTAAGTGAATGGGAATAATGGTAAATCTTCCAGCAAGCTACTGCAAAGTGTAGTTAAACTGCTGGTTTAATTATATGTACTTCACTTATCCCCAAAACTGTAAACAACACACATCCTACTGCTCCATTTCGCTCCACACTAACTTACCCCCAGTATCTTGGCCTGGCAGCGGCTGCATGTTGGAGCAAAAAACTCTTCGTAGCAATGTTCACAGTAGACACATCCCTTTTCCTCCACAAAGCCTATGTCTGCTAGGGATGTATGGCAGCGGGCACAGTTAAATTCCTCCTTATGCCACGATTTTCCCATTGCTACCAAAAAGGGTCCTCTGGAAAAAAAAGGACAACGTAAGTAGACACAAGCTGGGAGATAATGCTGGGGTTAGGGCAGTCAGCTACTGGACAAGGAAAGAGGTAGACAGCAGAAACAAAGAGGAAGACCATAGTCATAGTCACATCATCCTGTACAGTGAAGTCCCCAAAACACAAACTGTAGTTCTCATTGGCCCTCCTGGTGTGAAGCTGTCTGTGTTTAAAAATCAGGTTCCTAATCCTAAAGATTACCTATAGACAGGACACTGAAAAAGTTGACCCAATGTGAAAATCACAAGGGGGTATCGTTCTATTGTGCAACATCATTCTACAGTGTGGTCTTCTGCAGGTGCAACTTGATTCCCCCTATCCTTATCTACACTACAGTCAGGTCTTTATAGTCCTACAGTTTCATACATAGATTATGTACAGTACTGGAGATGGTTTCAAGTTAAATAATTTAAGTGCCTAACTGGGACACTGAATAATTAAGAAGTGGACAAATATGTCCTTTCCTATCCTTAATTTGCTTGAGTACAAAGTGTTGTCTGTGCAGCCAATTTGAAGAATTTACCCTTGTGTAAGCAGTACATGGGTATAATAAGATGGACCTAACATCTTGCATCTTGTGCACTGTTTTCTTTCACAGTTTTAACTATAAATGTCAGCCTCTTTCTTTCTTCATGACATGGCCCATAAATTCATATCTCTGTATTGCTGAGTGCTACAAAGAATTATACTTATTATACTACAATAGAAATTCATACAAACATCCTTTAGTTTAAAACTGACCTCATTAACCACAGTGTTTGACCCTCACCTGATGACCATGTTGCAGTGAGCGCACATGGGTGTACGCATCCCAGCAGGGATATGTTCTGCCATCTGGACCAGAGTGTCCTCATCTTTAGGGTGGGGCTGAGGTACAGGTCGGGCAGGGACAGGACCCCTCGGGACACTGGCACTGCCGTTACCCTTCATACCAAAAGATGGGGTGATCAAACCAGTCTGTGGACTATGACCTAGTAGGAGGTTGAAGTAAAACAAAAAGAAAGAAGGAGAAACAGATGGAAACTCAAAAAAGTGACTAGTTACAGCATCACAAAAATGTGTGCAACAGTTCTTTCCCTGGTGTGTAAAATATTTAACCTTTAGCCTCTTTGTCTAAACACCCAGTAGGTGTTATATATGCAGCTGGCTGACTCCTGTTGTCACAGTCATGGATTCACCACATCCATCTTCAGCAACACACAGAATATTTCACTCCACCTTCCTCACATTCTCTTGGCATATGTGCATGTATACACATGACCAAACACATACTACCACACACATAGACCACCAAGACATCCCTTCAGCTAAAACCCAGAACACCTGGCTAAACATGGAGCTTGGCCTTTGAGCTCCACACTGAAGGTGGCAATGTGTTTTCTGTGTGTGTATGGTGAGGTAAGGGCTACTTTGAGGCTTGGCTTTACCATTACATGTCATGTGTAAGTGTGTCTATTTGGGCAGGGAACAGGGCAGGGTTTACATCTGATTTTAGGGCTAGTAGGGGTTTCATTAAAACCCTCATCATAAAAATTAAACCATGATTGTCATAGTTTTAGAAGGAGGCTAAAACACAGCTTTTAGATACCAGAGATATGAATGCTTCCTCACTTATAGATTTCTTAACAAAAATTTCCTGAGAAGTGACAGTATTTTGTTATGTATGAGGAAGATTACACAGTTTGACATTTCAATCTACTGTCCTAGGAAAGCTGCCGTTTATCATGTCAGCATGCACTTCATACTGTTGTACAGTATGTTGAAGGTGCCTTCCAATTTGAACAGTGCCGTTGTTGTTTTAAAATGGGCGTTAGGAGCAAGCCAGTTTGCTCAAGGCCTGGGTTCTTTAACTTGAGCTGCAAATTTAAAATGGGTCAGTGACTTACTGGTGTTAGGACGCCATACGGCTAGCAGTATATTTTCCTGTGTAAATGAGCACATTTATGTTTTTTGTTGAGTGGCTCTTAACTCGCGGAGAGAAGTGGAGAAGAGGAGAGGATTTATGTTGTAGGGTAGAATCTGAATCTTGGGCTACCTTTATACAATATATACTGTATACAGTACAGAATATGTTCATATATCAATGTGCATCAGTGTTGGAATGAAACTAAGTATATTTACTCACTGTACTAAGTACAGTTTTTAGGTATTTGTACTTTACTTGAGTAAATCCATTTTCTGTTACTTTATACTTTTCTGAATTTACTAGATTTTTACTCCACTTTGTTGATTTGATACCTTTAGTTACTAGTTACAGGTTAGATTAATAAAACAAAATACAGGAGTACATCAAATTAGAATTTAATTAACAGGCACCTCCAACTTTATTAGCTGCTACATTAAAGTGATGAAGACAATAATGTATCAACAACTACATTTCAATAACATAATACACTTTAACATGAAATGTGCCATTCACATATGTATTACTGTGGTAGTTCAAGAATATTTTGATGCTAATACCTACACTGTGCTATTATAACTTCTAGTTAAGTTTTACTACTTTTACTTAAGTAAAAAATCCAAGAACGTCTTCCATCACTGAGCCACCATCATACTGCAGCTCTCTTGCTTGCCTTGAAAACATAAATCTTCGCTCCCAACAGGTCCCTTTGGTGAATATGATCTTTTTGACACAGTAGAACTGCTGCATGTGTGACTGAGTAAAGGCATCACAGGCAGAGCAGGGCCCTCTCACCTGCTTAATGGTCTTCCACAGAGGAAAAAGAAAGGAGTGACCTATAACATATGTCATGCTTCAACCAAGGAAAACATGCTTCTTTGCTCTTGCTAACTGGCTGTAACAACATTCAATCAAACAGAAGTAAATCAGTTTCACTCTATGCCAGGGAACCAAACGTTTTTTGTCAGAAGAAATAACACTTTTAACTGTAGGGGGAATATATTAATCAATCCAAATATACACACAAGAAGTTTTAGCTCAATTCCTAAAGGACATTTTATTTTTAGGATTCTATTTGTAGGTTCTACATTTTGCCTATGCATATATTCTCTGTGACTTATACAAAGAAAACAACTCAGGCACGTTAGTCTGAATATACAGTACTCCACTAGTTAATTTAGTAAAACCACCAAATGCCTACAGTAAAAACAGCTCACACAGAGCCATACAGATATACTTTTGTTGGATTTGGCAGCATGCTTAGTGCACTATTCCACAGACCTCATGTATCCACTGGCTCAGTGAACAATTAAATGCATTTTAGTCACAGTAGTATGTATAAGTACTGTATTCTTTAATATGTGCTCACAGCACTGAAATATTACTTTAGTCCGTTCAAAGGAGACATCATTGGTGGCTTGGTCCCAGCTCCATAAATCATAAAGTATACAGGGTGGTAAAATGACACCAGGTAATAATTATAACTAGTGGTCATTGCGAACATGTGATTGTGTGAATAAGTGAATGACAACGTATGTAAGATGTATTGCTATCACAAGTGAACAACAGGGACCACACACAGTGTTTACCTTTGGCTGCTGCGGGTCCTTTGATCATAGTCTTGACAACTGCAGACTCATGGCTATTGAGTTCAGCCTCTTCACTTTCCTCACTGTTACAGAGAAACATAATGGAAACACAAAACATATGTAAATCACTTAATGTATAATTGTACTTCTGGTCCCAAACAGTGGCTGCAGATCACTAATGGCTGCATTCTGTGAGGACAGATGGTGCATCCTGATGCATGCCAACATTGTCTGATCACATTCATATCTATAGAGATACACCGAGGACTATTTTATTTATCTTACTTGAAAATAATTATTTTAAATGATCACAGATATTTAATAATTCAAATAACTTCACAATAAATGAATCAGAATGAATTCTATAAGATCAGTTGTGGATTTAAGGCTTTATTTTAAGTTTGTGTGGTTGTTAAAATACATTTGGGTACCTGTTCTCATTCCCAGACTACATGCTTGTCAGGAAAAGTGCAAATGCACCTGCAAATGCGATAAGAGTTGGTCCAAGCAGGCCTTATCACTTTTGCTATTTCGGGTCAAAATGAGGACCAAAATTGCACTCCGCTGCCTATCAGCATAAACTCAGCCTCAACTGCAGCTCTCCTCCCATCTCGGCATAAGCACATTCATTCATGGCAGAAAAATGCCAATGCACAAAAAATAGAAGACACGTGTCTGAGGAAAGTTATATAACAACTGCAACTGACATGATGCAGAAGTTGCACTGGCAGGAAAATGGAGCCCAAAATTTCTACTGGCATCGGTCAGAGTGATGGGTCACTGAATAGCAAAAATGTGGCTGATTCTGTGTGTGTATGTACTGCATAGTGTGTGTGTTTGTTTCTTGGTTATTAACAAATATGTCATCCCCAGTAAAATGTCTTTGAAAGCCAGCTCCTCTCATAGCCACTTGAAAAAAACTACAAGAAGAATGATGGGAAATAAAATCACTAACACAGTCTAATTTTCCAAGTTCCTGTCAAAATGTACTATGACAGACTCCAGACCACCTACCTGCTGACAGAGCAGAGACAAATATAGTACCAACCAAAACCTAGAATACACTTACAGCCAAAACAGTACAGTACTTCATACTGCACTTCCTACTTGTGTGTACAGTATGCACAAAAATGTTGTCTGTGTGCCACTTTCACAGCAGAACAAAGTCCAGGCCACCGGCCTGATGATGGATAGGCGACAAGTAGGTCTGCACAGCACTAAATATACAAGCACACCCATTTAAAACTCATTTCAGAATATCAGTACAAATGACTCAGTAGAGAGGAACTGACTACAGTGGAGTGGAATATAGTGTAATGAACAAAATTTCCCAGTCCAGATGTACTGTAGACAGATGCCAGACTACCAGTAATAATGATAGAGGGGAGACAGTCTTGTCACAGTATTGTTTAGTAAAGTACCAGGTTCATTTGCTCCATATTTGCTTTATGTTTTTAAAGCCTTGCACGGCCTTGCCCCTCCGTACCTATCCGACCTCTTGGCTAGATATGTCCCTCGCAGAACCCTGCGATCATCGGGTCGCCTTGCTCTTGTCGTTCCCCCTGCACACTGCAAAAAGTGGGGAGGTCGTTGCTTTGCTGTGCATGGGCCTAGGCTGTGGAATTCCCTGTCTTT